TAGCAGTCAGTGATTCAAAAGGCGCTGCCCTTCTCTCTCTCCCCCCCCCCCAACTACATTTTCACCCACTTCTGGTATAGTAGTACAGGGCGTCTTTCTAGCTGTATAGTTGAGAAGTAGATAGAAACGATTTGCAATTGGTATGAAAACATAGATATCTCATCTGATAAAAATTCAGTCATTTATTTTACTGAAGCACCTCTGGAAAAAAAATGATAATGAATATTGAAAAAAGGAGAAAAGGTAAAAACTTTGTCGGATAATTGATAACGAAAAACTAAGCCATGAATTGTCGTGTTCAGGTATAGGAACATTCAATATGAAGTTATTCTCGTAAAAATTACCTCAGTGAATAGGCAAACAGAAGAGGTGAAAATGTACCTTTAACCAATAATGTGCATCAACTAATTTCCTTATTTATGTTGCGTAGCAATGGTCTGTGAAATAGCCTTCCCTTCCTCAATCTAAACCGTCCCGTCTCCTGATCCCAATTCGATTTGTCACTTATTGAAGCTCCCAATTCCGACTGTGCTCTTAAAGATGCTCCTGTACTTTATCCATAATTAGTTAGTCAAGGGTCGCGCAATGACAAAGCAACAAAGAAGGGGGCGGTATAATTTACTTATGGAGGCAGTTCTAATAGAACGAATATAATGGCTTGTCCGGAAAGTTTCTGCCGACTTCCGAGTTACCTTTGGGTGGAGATTTCTATAGAACAACGCTGTTCTTCAAACAATACAGTGCGTCGCAAAGCGATACAGCCACCTCTAATTTTCCCAAAAACTCACAGTATATGATGATTCTGAAAAACTGCCGAAAAAAATGTCATATTTGAATTGCAATTCGCTCATTATCACCAAATTCCAGCTCGAAAACACAAACATTTTTTTGGTCAATTTTTCAATGAACGGTGCTTTTCCAACGTCGCAAGATGATACAGCCACTTGATGTCTTCGTGTCGTTTTTCAGTTCAACGCAACGAAATTGCTTCGATTATGTGATGTTCTTCATTTTCAGGCAACGGGAAGAGGAAGCTTGCTTTCGGATTTCGAGAAAGGTCAAATTCTCGCGAAAAAGGAGCAGGGATTGTCAAATCGCAGAATCGCGCGAGATTTGGGTCGATCTCACGCAGTTGTGGATAACTTTATCAAGAATCCTGAAGAATATGGAACTAGAAGAAGTGCTGGACGTCCTTCGCTCCTTTCCGACAGAGACAAGCGCCGTATTTTGAGGGAAGCGTCGAACTCCACCAAGTCCTGCATGGAAATCCGATCTTCACTGAATCTCAATAATTCAAAGGACACTGTTTGGAGGGTAAGGCACCCTTCATGACAAAAAAAAACAACGAGAAAATCGAGTCCCTTTCGCCAGAAGGTGCAGCCGAACCGAATGGAATAAGGTGTTCGTCATGTGCTGACATTTGACCTTCCTTCTCTTGATGGTTTTTGTTCTTCAGGTCGTTTTTCCGATGAGAAGAAGTTCAACCGTGATGGTCCAGACGGAAACCGATTTTATTGGCACGACCTGAGCAAGGCAAAACTTCAATTTTCCAGACGAAACTTTAAGGGAGGAGTCATGGTTTGGGCCGCGATCTCGTCAAGTAAGAGTATCCGTTTATGATTCGTATCGAAAGAGATGAGCTCATCCTTTTGTCGTACTTTTGTGCGCCGTGCACTTCTCCCTTCTTGGCCTCAGAATCTGCACCAAAATCATGTTTTTATGCAAGATAAGGCTCCAATTTACGTCAGCAGCAGCACCCAAGCTTGGTTCTCTCGGCACTTCTGCCCTGACCGGCGAACAGCTCTGGTTCAAATTCGAAAATGTATGGGGCTTCATNGATTTTATTGGCACGACCTGAGCAAGGCAAAACTTCAATTTTCCAGACGAAACTTTAAGGGAGGAGTCATGGTTTGGGCCGCGATCTCGTCAAGTAAGAGTATCCGTTTATGATTCGTATCGAAAGAGATGAGCTCATCCTTTTGTCGAACTGTTACGCGCCGTGCACTTCTCCCTTCTTGGCGTCAGAATCTGCACCAGAATCATGTTTTTATGCAAGATAAGGCTCCAATTTACGTCAGCAGCAGCACCCAAGCTTGGTTCTCTCGGCACTTCTGCCCTACCCGGCAAACAACTCCGGTTTGAATTCGATGGAAAATGTATGGGGCTTCATGGTGCGGAAGATTTACGCCCAAATCAAGCAACTCCGAGGCGTCAAGGAGTTGAAAAAAGCGATAAACGAAGCATGGCACCAAGTTGCCCAGGAACTAGCCGATAATTTTTTTTCGAGCCTAGACCACCGTATTATCAAAGTAATTCGAAAGAATGGTGGGTCAGCTGATTATTGACTTTGCTACTTTCTCTCCTTGTTGTATGATTGTTGTTAAATAAATTAATTTTGTGAGTGGCTGCATCATTTTGCGACGTTGGAAAAGCACGCTTTATTGAAAAATTGACCGAAAAAAATGTTTGTGTTTTCGAGTTGGAATTTGGTGCCAATGTGCAAATTGCAATTCAAATTTGACACATTTTTTACTTTGGCAGTTTTTTAGAAACATCATATACTGTGAGTTTTTGGGAAAATTAGAGGTGGCTGTATCATTTTGCGACGCATTGTATATTCTCCATTCTGCTCAGCAATGGTTCGCCGTCTTCCTGTGAACTTCACTATCCAATTTTCCTAGAAGGTTCTAGTTATATAATGGAATCGAAGTCCCTCAGCGGATTGGAAGATTTTCCATTCAAAGAGTTCTGCAGAAACCCGAGCAAGTGGTAGTCTGCTGGTGCTATGCTCACCCGAGCTCCAGCAATTTTCCACGAGCGACCAAGCATAAGTGTGGTCCGGAATTGTCTTGTTGGAAGACAACGCCTTTACGATCGGCCAGTTCAGGGGGTACATCGCCTTCTCAAAGTTATGGTTTGTTAATGCGGCAACAGAATGAATGAATAATCTTCCGCAACTCGATTTTGACTTGCGGCATGGTTTGTGACGGCTCACAGGTAGGGCTCCACGATCGTTCCGCTCCACATTGTTGTGCACGGCCCACTTTTCGTCCTCCGTTTCCATGCGTTTTAGAAACCATCCATTTTTGTTTCGTTCGAGCAACGACGCACGCGGAGGCGCGGTCTAACACATTGCGCTAGCGCTCACTTCGTGAGGTACCCGAACCTCAATAGCGAAAGGTTCCAGTAATCATCCAGATAGATAAAGTCAAGAAGAAGTAATCGAAGAGAGAAATAATGAATTCAAAGGATACAACGGATCAAGGCGCTCAACACAACCAAGTTTCAGCAAAGAGCCATATGTTGATTTCCAGAGACCAAGTCTTTCTCCTAATTCACGACTAGTGATGTGCCTATTCGCTCCATTACTATTATGATTTGGCCGTTTTCAACTAATGAGAGTTGCCGATCTTCGAGGACGAGTTCCCGCT